GAGTCTGATTCTGCTGGAGGCTTATTCTTGTTAAAAGGGAGTTTTTCCTTTTCACTGTTGCCTTTGTGTTTGCTCAGGATGGGAGACTGTGACAAAGTGAAGATTCAACAATCTGCTGCTTCCTTAGAGAATTTTACCAATTAGCTTTTTTAAATTTATGTGAATGTTTCTGTTCATTGCCCTGAGACAACTTCTGTTGTGAATTGGAACTACAGAAGTAAATGGAATTAAAATGACTGAAACGTGGTGGGACCTTCAAAGAGCAGAGCAGAAATAAACATGTGAAGCTACGATGTCAAGAAGAGTGGGCTAATGTTTTTCAAATACCATGAGACTGATAAAGGCCTACAGAAAACCTCGACAAAGTGTTATTGCTGCTAAAATGGGTTCTACAAGCTGCTGCTGCATCTTTGTGTACTCTTGGGTTTAGATCTGAAGAACATTAGATCCAAGTAAAGATCACATCAGTTTTATTGTGCTCTGATCTACAGTATACAAGCCCAGAAGTCAGAGGGCGGACTTTCTTTTTCCCATGACTGTGTTTCCTGGGTGTGAGGGACATCCTTGGACAGTCACAGCACATCTGGTGTCCTTCATGGGTCCTCTCACTTCTCCACGTTTTTTCTGTCTTTGTTAGGTGAACTGCACCAATAGCAGAAGCAGAACTTTTAGGACGACATCCTCTCGCTGCAATTAAACAAAAAGTGCAGTTTGGCTGTGATGACTTTTGAAAATGTGAATATTGTTTAATGTGAGACCAGAGTCTGAGGATTAATGTCCCTTACAGCTGTTGTATTTTTGATAAAGTTCTGTAAGTGACCACACTCATGAACAAGCAAGCCCCTAATTCACCTGGCCAAAAATATGGAACTGCTTTTCTTCAAGGCTATTTATCCTAGTTTAACTGACAGAAAACAGCTAAGAAACATTTCATTGTCAGAAGTTTATGTCCATTCATCACGAGCATGAGTAACATCTTAAGCTTTTAATCATTTGTTCAATTTTTTTCCCCCGGAGTGGAATGAATTTATAACGAACAACTTCAATTATTTGTTTAAATAAAAACAACAGTGTGCACAAGTTAGTTCATGAATTTTCTTCTAATCCACAAAAGGTCAAAACTATACATACAGGCCAAATTATCCATACACCTACCCAAATCTGTTACGTGGCACCTAAGGGTCTAAGGTCTAGGGGGAGCGGTGGCGCAAGAGGTTAGAAGATGGGCCTGTGATCGAAAAGTTGCAGGTTCAACTCCCTGTACAGTCAACATCAAAACGTGGGTGGAAAAGGTGGAACACCCACACCTTCCTCCACCCTCATTTGCCGCACTCTGGGCCCCTGAGCAAGGTCCTTAACCCCCACCATCTGCTCCCTAAAACATGTCTCTCTTGAAAACAAGTTCTCGTGGCTCAATGAGACTACCTGTATAAATAAGGGGTAAATAAATAAAAAATAGGTCTCAACTTGACAAGATCAAGGCCTAATAACTTCTTGCTAGTGATTGATTGATTACAGCTGGTATTTTTTTAAATGCCAGAGTAGCAAAGAATTGATGACAATTGGTATTAAAAAATAATTTTTATCCAGCCGGTCTAAGCAGATGGCCACTCGTCCCGAGCCTAGTTCTGCTGGAGGTTTCTTCCTGTTCAATGAGCCTCCCCCCCAACAATCTCCTTTGTACTTGTTTAGGATGGGAGACTGTGACAAAATGAACTCAACACAATCTGCTGCTTCATTAGATAGAGAATTTTTACTAATCGACTTTTATGAATGTGAATGTTCAGCGCTCAGAGGACTTCTGTTGCGACTTGGCGATGTATAAATAAAATGAATGGAATTGAATCGTTATTAAACCAGACTCTGCTGTATAGGAAACTGCAAAGTCTGGGTTAAAAACCTAAAAAGGAAAATTGTCGATTTACACGTTTAAAAACCTTTAAACTCCAAAATGATCAGTTGGAAACATCTGCGTGTATACTCCCCTTCAGATAAAAGAAAACTGGTTAGGAGGTTCAGAGTCAAGAACCACCTGACCTGACCTAGAACCTACTGGAACACAAAGAAGCCAGTTTTACATGCTGCTCTAAAAGCAACACCTTGAAGCTGAATTGAAACCTGCAGCTGCTCACATGCACAAGTGGAGAAGAGTTTGATTATCAGACGAGACACAGCTGTTGTTTAGTTGTTGGCTACGACAGGAAGTTTGCAGTTGTTCTTAACCCTGGTCCCTGAGGGACACCATCCTGCATGTTTTAGTTGTTCCTCTGCTCCAATACACCTGATTTGAAAGAAAGGGTGATTAACATGCTGACCTTAAGGAAGTAACTAAACCACTGAATCAGGTGTGTTGGAGCAGAGAAACAACTAAAACATGTAGGATGGTGTTCCTCAAGGACCAGGGTTGGGAATTCCTGGTTTAGAGGAGTCAAGGTGAGGCTTTCACACTCAAGAAAGCTGTCCAAGCTGTTAAACATGGTGGTGGCAGCTTCATGCTGTGCTACAGGCACAAAGTGGATAGAATAACGAGTCATACCGCCCACTTCTTTACCTCAATCAACAGCTAATTATAGTTAGACATAACTGGGCATTCCAACAGGACAAACAGATCAAAACTAGTTTGATTGGATAAATCTGGCTTACTTTAGGAATCTGGACTTTCCAAAAGCCCCAAATTCTACCAAACTTGTGGAAATGTTCAGATTAGGAGTAAAAGCTGTTTTAGTGCAAAGAAATCAACAAAGTCAACTCCTCCAACTGTGCGCAGGTGAGCATTTATCAGGCAGAATCCATCCAGGTCCTTGTTGATGGCTTGTGGTTCAGACGCAGCTCGTTAAACAACATAGAACAGCTTAACCTAGAAGACTGCTAGAAGGTTCACATTTAAATACATCATCAAAATGAGCATGGCAGCAAAATAAAAAAATACTTAAAAAATATCCAGGCAGGAGAAAAACATGTTTGACTGTTGTGTTCCCACTATTGTATGTAGTATTTTGGACTGTTCAGGTTAAACATTCAGTGTTCCTTTTACTGAGATGCTAAGTGTTTGTACGAATTCAAAGGGTGCACGGACAGCAATTAATTTCATTTGGGTACACTTCTTTCTGGTTCTTAAGGCATGTGGGAGGGGGTATTAAAGAGGTTAACCAAATGTTAGTGGGTGTGTATGAATACCTTTGACCCTGTGTGGACAGGAGAGAATATACAAACGTATGCACCAAATTCTTGAAACAATAAAAAAATGATTCAAATACATCATCACTCAAAGATGACATTCATGGCCATAATGACTCGATGGTAACTTCTGACAGCAACTGTCCACAGGCAGAAAACCACGTGCAAACTACATTTGTAATGTGAATGCTTTGATTTTTTCCAAAGTCAAATATGCAAATGATTCTGCAGTCTCCTTACAAACCTCAGTGCGTTGCAGCAGCCAGTTGGTCCATTCTGCAAAGTCTGCTACCTCCCACCCCCCACCCAAATAAATAAATAAATAAGCAACTAAAAACAATTTGATGGTTGGAGATTTGTTTTTCCAACGTGACATCAATGAACAGGTTCAAACTGTTAGAAAAGCCAAAAGAAAACATGGTGGAAGAAAGTACTGTGTTTTATTTTTTGGTCATGATTTCATTTTATTTTTACGTCATTTATCAAAAATTGCCCATAATTAAAGCAGTTCCACTTACGTTTAACCTGGTTCGATTCATTTCGTTTCGGCTGCTTGTTTCTGCAGAACTTTAGATTTCATTTGGACAGAGGGTTGTACTAATTAAAAAATATTACCTGCAACATAATTTACATTACCTTAAAAAATATCCCAAACGGATTTAAAAATGGAAAAACAGGAACACATTCATACTAGGTCATGCATTTTAGTACTTTATTTTTAATATCAGTGCAAATGAACACCAAAAATGAAAACATAAAAAATGAAATATTTCTGATCTTAACATGAAAAAAGAAACATCTTTATATATATA